ACTGGTTGCTCTTCTTCTTCTCCTTCTGGTACCCCTATAATTCAGATGTTGGAACATTTAAAGATGTTCTGGAGGTTCCTAAGCCTCTCCTCATTTTTTTTTTGAATTCTTATTTCTTCATTCTTTTCTGGTTGTATGTTTTTTTCTTCCTTCTGGTTCACTCCATTGATGTGAGACCCAGCTTTCATTCCATCACTATTGGTTCCCTGTGCATTTTTCTTCATTTCACTTATTGTAGCCTTAATCTAATTTGCAACCAAAATCAACCAATTCTGTGAGCATCCTGATCACCAGTGCTTTGAACTGTGCATCTGATAGGTTGGCTATCTCTCGGTTGCTTTAAAAAACTGATTGTGGGGCTTTCACTTCTGTTTGAGTCATCTTTTTCCCCTCCTTTGGTCTGGTCGCACCTGTTACGTATGAGGGGCGGAGCCTTAGGTGTTTACCAGGGCAGGGCACCCCAGTCGCTGGGTTGTGACGTTGTGTGTGGCTGCAGGGTCTGAGAGGGAACAATGGTGCTTGCTCCACTCTCCATCGAACCTCAGTCCCTTCTGCTGCTTCCCCCAAGCAAACTGGGCCCCTCTGGTGCCAATTCCTGTGTGGGTGGGCATGTATACGCCCTGGGACTTTCCAAGGACCTCTCCTGTGAGGCTGGGAGTTTCTCCCTGCGCCTCAACCCCCACAGGTGTTTTCAATCAGTGCCCCAAGGCTCTATTTCCCTGCACTGTGAGCCTGGGTTGTGCACAGTGCCTTGCTTCACAGTTACCACCTTGTTGGGTCTGCAGGTTGCCACCCTTCGGCCGGGGTCTGCCAGCTGCCACTTGCGCACTCAGGGTCCACCCACTATGGTCTTGCATGCCCTGGAGGACCCACACGCCTGGTCCCAATGCTCTCTGAGCCTCGACCCGCGCCTGGCTGCCCAACTCTGCCCCTCCTACCAGTCTGGATGAACGTGTCTACCTTAACTTCTTGGTTGTCCGACTTCCATTCAGATCAGCTTTCTGTCAGTTCTGGTTGTTATTCTATTTCTAAATTGCTGTTGTCCCTATCTTGGTTGTGCGAGGAGGCACAGTGTGTCTACCTATGCCTCCATCTTGGCTGGAAGTCGTTTCTATTCTTGTTTGCTGAGTTTATTTTTTAGATTCAATTGTGACAGGTACATGTTTATTGCCATTTTATTGTTCACAGTTTTCAACTTCTTTTGCTTAAATAAGTCCTTTACCATTTCATATAGTAATGGTTTGGTGATGATGAATTCCTTTAGTTTTTTTCTTTCTGGGAAGCTCTTTAAACACCCTTTGATTTTAAATGATACCTTTGCTGGGCAGAGCGATCTTGCCCAGAAAAAGAAGGTCCCCGCTTTTCATGACTTTGAATACTTGCCAATCCCTTCTAGCCTGTAGTTTCTTTTGAGAAATCAGCTGACAAGACTTATGGGAACTCCCCTGTAGGTAACTGCTTTTCTCTTGCTGCTTTCAAGATTCTCTTTAATCTTTAACCTTTGGAACTTTTAAAAAAGATTTTATTTACTTATTTCTAGAGAGAGGGCAAGGGAGGGAGAGAGGGAAAGAAACATTGATGTGTGAGAAATGCATAGATTGGTTGCCTCTCACACGCCCCCAACTGGGGACCTGGCCTGCAACCCAGGCATGTGCCCTGACTGGGAATTGAACTGGTGACCTTTCGGTTCACAGGGCAGCACTCAACCCACTGAGCCACACCAGCCAGGGCAAACTTTGGCATTTTAATTAAGATATCTTGGGGTGGGCCACTTTGCATCCATCTTCTTTGGGACTCCCTGTGCTTCCTGGACTTGCATATCTATTTCCTTCACCAGTTTGAGAGTTTTCTTTAATTATTTCTATTTCAAATAGATTTCCAATTTCTTGTTCTTTCTTTTCTCGTTCTGGCACCCCTACGATGCATATGTTGGAATGCTCGAAGTTGTCCTAGAGGCTGCTTACAATATCCTCGAGGTTTTTGGGGGGAATTCTTCTTTCTTTTTGCTGTTCTGGTTGGTTGTTTTTTCCTTTCCTTATGTTCCAAATCATTGATAAAGCCAAAATTTTGATAAAGCCAAATCTTGGCTTTATCCACTCTACTATTATTTCTCTGTAAATTGTTCTTTATTTCAATTAGTGTATCCTTTGTTTCTGACTGGAATTTTTTTATGCTGTTGAGGTTTTCACTAAGTTTCTTGAGCATCTTTATAACCAGTGATTTGAACTCTGCATCTGATTGCTTATCTCTATTTTGTTTAGTTCTTTTCCGGAGTTTTGATCTGTTCTTTCATTTGGGCCATGTTTCTTTGTCTCTTAGTTTTGGCAGCCTCCCTGTGTTTGTTTCTATGCATTAGGTAGAGCTGCTGTGACTCCCCATCTTGGTTGTGTGGCCTAATGTAGTAGGTGTCCTGTAGGGTCCAGTGGCATGCCTCTCATATCACCCAAGCTGGGTAGTCAAGGTACGCCCTACATGTGGGCTGAGTACACCCGCCTCTTGTAGTTGAGCCTTGGTTGCTGTTGGCAGGTCAATGAAATTTACTCAGGCCAGTCAGCTGCAAGGACTGGCTGTGATCACTGACCACCATCTCTGTCCTCTGTGGAGGATCAGCTGTGCAGGGGCAGGGTGGTGGTGCTCTGACCTGGCCTGTAGCTGCCCACTGGGTGCACAGGTTCTGCAGTTTCCTCAGTGGTGCAGGTCAAAGTCAGTCCCTGTGTTCTGCCTGGGACCACCCTGAATGAGCTATAAAGCAATCTGCAGATGGCTGCCACTTGTGCTGGTCTTGGAGCTTCCCAGGTGAAGCCAAACTGTGATTCAAAGCTGGCTGTGGCTAGTGCCAGGGCCTGCAGCCACTTAGTGAGAGATTGGGGGAGTGGGGGCTGACTGAGGCAGGCTGCTGCATGTTTGATAAGATGTAGGAAGTGATGAAGCATGAGCCAAGACCAGCCATTCATATGGAAATGCCACTGTTAACATTTTGGGTGGGGCTGTAAATTGGGTGGGATGGAGCCTCAGGGGATCTCCAGGGCTGGGCAAATAGTGTTACCAGGTTGATGGAGTCTCAGATACTGTACCCACCTGCAGGCTTTGTGGATCTCAGGGGGAAGGTTCAGAAAAGACTTTCTGTCTGGGAGAAAGCTGTCCCCCAGCTCTCGCCTAGATGCCAGACACTTCAGTTCCTCCCTGTGTGCCACTGGTGCCCTTCAAGCTGCTACCCAAGTGAGCTCTAGCTCAGAGGGAGTCACAGGAAGTCTGTGTGTGGGTTCTTTAAGAGGATCTGCTTGGGACTCTAGAAGTTTCTTCCACTGACTCATCCCCACTGGTTTCTGCAGCCAGAGTTATGGGGACTTACCTTCCTGGCACTGGAACCCTGGGTTTTGGGGCCTGGTGTGGTGCTGGGACTCCTCACTCCCGAGATATCCCTCCTGAATTTTTATCCACCACTCATGGATGTGGAACCAGGCTGTTCTGTTTCTCCGCTCTTCCTACTAGTCTGGATGGATGTGGGTTCTTTCCTTCTATAGTTGTCAAACTTCCATTCAACTTGATTTCTGATGGTTCTGAGGATGGCTGTTCTATAGTTTAGTTGTAATTTTGATGTGGTTGTGCAAGAAGGAGAGCTGTGTCTGCCCGTGCCCTTTGACCACAAGTTCAATGTTTTGGTTTATTCCTATCTCCAACTGGTGTGAAATTTTACTAAGATTCTCAGAAGGCAATCTTAACAATTTATTTGTTATTTTCAGAACTGCCTTACCATCATATTTATGCATTGCCTAACATATGGAGGAAATAGAGAATTAAAGAGGATGAGAAATCATGAGTAGGTCATAAAGTTTAGGGAAAAGTTCAAGAGTAAAAATTGAGAACAAGGTATTAGTAGAAACCAAGCACCTACACTGGACCACTCACTGTGCTAAATACTTCACATGCATTATTCATGACCTAGAACACCACTGTGGTAATATTAACAGCCCCATTTTACACATAAGGGAACTGAGGGGTAGAAAAAATAAGTAACTTGCCCTGGGTCAAAGCTTGCAAAGTTGAACATGACTAAGAAACAGTCATTGTATTGAAAGTTTGGGAAATCTTGAAAAACATTCAGAATGAAAATAAGAAAAACAGAAGGAGCAGTTATAAAGTTTTCTTTCAAGAAATTTGTGAGCAGAAGGAGAAAAATGAGAGAGCGCAGGAAAAGGAGCAAGACACTTCGGGGGCACTGGGTCCCTTTAAGTTTAGACAGACCCAGCGGGGGTTACCTAGCGCATGCCTGCTGCGTGTCAGCTGCTTGCCAGGCATTTGAGATGTGCAGACAGAAGGACGGGGGCAGCTGCTAGGGCGACCAAGACGCCGGGAGGGCAGGGGGTTAAAAGCACACAGCTGGACAATTAGCCTCGGTCACAATCTGGGACATTTCTTCTTTCACCTTCTTCAGCTTTTTTTTAAACGCCCACTGTCAGAACTGGGAGATCAATTCTGATGTAAAATATAGGAAATAATTCTCCTCAGAAGCAATGCCAGAAAACCCAAGTTTTTATGAGAACTTACGGTTCATATACTGAATACTACAGTTCCGGGATACGAAATGTGGGTCATTAGGTTCTCTTGGAATTAGCCTGGAAAATTACCACCATATGGGAACACTCTTTCTACGGGAAAATGTTTTGGAGTCCGAAACAGCCACCCTACAAACTCCTCTCAGTGTGACCCAGTTACCGTTCTATGTCGCCCAGTGTCCAGCTCAGGGGAGGCAAGACCAGCGCATGACAAGCAGGTGCTGCTGCCACCTGCCTTTCTGAGACAAGTCACAGGAGCAGGAACACCCAGGAGCAAGCAGGCTGATCTCTCTTTAAAAGAATAAAAAAATCCATTCAAGTTTTGCTCTAAAACAATCAGTGATTCTCTGAGACAAGTGACCGGACATTATTAGCTCCCCAGAGCTCTTTCCCACTTTGTACCTACGAAGGAGAAGCAAAGAAGACAATCTGAAAACAACGGAAAGGATTTAAAAATTATTTACTCTTTACTTTTTATTACAATAAATATTTATCAATAATAGAATTAAACGATTTTAAATTAAAACCTACTGCATTACTTTTGGGTTTCACAGCAGCAGAAATAAACATAAATCCAGTTGAAAGGACAAGGCTCCCGGAATCCAGTGGCAAGAAACAGTCGGCTCTTGATTATCTGGGCTAGTGACGGGGAACAGCAATACCGATGACGCGGGAGTACCGGTAAAATACATGGCCGTACTCTACCTGTCCATCAAAGACACATCTAAGATCTCGCCACATTCCAGCTACGGCATTTAAGCAAGGTTGTGATGCCCCACTGCTGCGAGAGCTCGACTTCTCCCCCCACCGAACCTGGGAGCAGAGTGGCTCCCAGAGCTGCCTTCGGGCCGCGAACGGGCCCCCAGCACCTTCAGACCCAGAGGCCCCCGCCCCGCTGGAAGCAGCCGTCTCTCCCAAAAGCCGTCCTTCTGGCTCACACAATCCCCGGTGAAAGGGCAATGGAACAGGACTTATCTCAAGGGCCTTTCCCGGGGACTGAGATGAGCTCGAAGCAAGAAAGGCTGTGGGTGCAGATGAGGAAGAGGCTCCGCAGAGTTAAGGGCTACACGCAGGTCACGCCAACCTGGGGAACGTGCAGGGAGGGCGCACCACTTCGCTGATAATCAAGAGGAGACTGCATGTACATACGAATACATCATACACATATATGCACAGAGAACAGATGTGTACATATTCGATGTGTATCCACACACACACCGCACAGGACCAGACAAAACAAATGCTACGTTATTCACTCTGAACACAGCAAGTCCTAGACAGACCGATTACTAACAGGTTCAATTCAACTACTTGGAAGGGAAAAATAAGATTTTGTGCTCCTCTTCATCTTCTTCTCTGATATATTCTACTTGTAGCAAATATATTCCAGTTGCTGGAGTGGTATTGTTTCTAGGTACCTGAGAAGGGATGGAATTGTCCTTTTATTCCAGAATACTACCGAAAGCAAACAGCAGCAGGACCAAGCTAAACAACTCAATAATGGATTCAGCCATGATTCCTGCCACCTGGTCACAGGGTATGTAACCTCACTCAGAAAAGGATACGATTCTTTCTCTACGGTTGGCTACAAACCCATTCTAGTGGATGGGAGACGAAGGGGAAAAGAGGGCAGCAGGGCATCTACACCTCTATACCTCGGCAAGTATCCGCTGCCTTCCCCTCCCCCCAGGGGAAATGCTACAGCTGAAGTTTGGAGTTTAATACTAAATTCTGCTTTCTTGGCACATTTCAGAACGAGTAAATAACACCTGCAGCTGGGTCTTTGTCTCCTGAATGGCTGTTCTAACGGAGTAAGTTATCTAAACAAAATATCCTACAAAAAATGTTAATATTGTGGTCAGTTGCGTGTATGTGTGTGTGAAGTCTTAATAGTAGTTATTAAACTCAAAGTCTGATACTGAATGATACCAGTATTTTAAACAGATTTATAATGCAGCATTCATACATCCTGTAAAATTGAAACAGGCTCCTGATTAATAACATCAAGTTCTAACTAAACATGTTCCTCGTCAAGAGCTTATTTTTTTAGATAACAAAAAGTACTTGTCAAGAATTCCAGAATATAGCCCTGGCTTGTGTGGCTCAGTGGATTGAGCGCCGGCTTATGAACCAAAGGTTGCTGGTTCAATTCCTGGTCAGGGCACGCGCCTGGGTTGTGGGCCAGGTCCCCAGTTGGGGGCGTGTGAGAGGCAACTGGTCAATGTATTTCTCCCATGTTTCTCTCCCTTTCCTTCTAAAAATAAATTTAAAAATTTTTTTTAAAAGACCAAAATCTAGAATTCATGGAGAACTGTGTATATTTTAACTGAAAAAATTAATTCTAATTGTTACCCATACACACGGCCCTAGAGAAGACCACAGCCACAGAGCCACAAGGCACCCAGAGCACTTCGCCTCTCCCCGTGTCTTCAGACCTGCGTCTGATTTCCACGGGGCGCTAAGCATGCTGGGGCCGTGGTCCGACTCACACGCTCTCGAACAGCACCCTGCTGATTTACCCTGGCTTTCGAAGAATGATTCTGTGACAAGTAAGGCAAGATGAACAGTGTGTGGAAAACCAGACATCCTGTTGTATCAACGGGACTTTCCCTAGCAGACAAGCCCCTACTGGGATATTCTAACATCAGTGCACGTGCCACTTTCCAGTTCTAGGAACCTGGCCCTCCCGACCAAACGCAACGGGCCACCTGCGAGGGGGCCGCCACCGGCAGCCCTGCTCTTGCTGTCCTAAGTATTAGCTTTTTAAAGGTCTATCTGTAAAAAGAGCAGGTCCCTGCTTAAAAAAAATAAAAAATAAAAATCAGCCAGATTACTATTTCTTGCATATCTGTTTACTAAAAAGCAAAGCATATTACTAGCATGCAAGTGAAAAAGCAAGGTTACATTTACTTTGCACTGCAGAAACACTGGAAGTGAGTCAGCCAGTAAATCTAATTCTCGTGGCTCCACGCAAGGAAGAAGTAAACACGTCGCCACTTTCGCCGGGAAAGTTAGACCACCATGATTTACAATATGCCCTAAAAGTAGCTGCCTGCCAGTAATATGTCAGTCATTTGTACCACTTCAAAGATGAAAAGTAAAATATATAAATCATGTGGGTTTCATAATTAATAAAGGAAAATCAGAACTTAAGCTTCCTAAAATGCCAAGCATCACACTTTCAAGTTTCACAGTGATTAACTTAACATCATTTTATTGTTAAAACTGTCCTTTTTATGTGTACATGTGAAAGTGCTTCAAATGCAGCATACGAGTTAAAATTCCTGGAAGGTTCTAGCACAGGCAGCCACAAGGTTATGCAGCCACAAGGTGTTCATGAAAGAGCATGCTGTCTTACTAAGAAACCTTGTAGGACAAAGAGAATGCTAGAGTGACTTCACAGATTTCTTACAGAGAGCTCAGTCAAGTCCGGAACTGAAGTCAGGGTAAAGGCCACCCTGAACGCAGGAATCGACACCACCAAAGATATCTGTATCTGTTTTTTGGCTTATTTGGGGACCCCAAGTCCAAAGTTCCAGCCCACCAGGTGTGCTCTGCTCCCTCTGGCACAGTCCCGGTCCTTGACCAGACAAGACATCCAAGGCCATCAAGGAGATCTGAATGCGGGGAAGCCGAAGAGCAACACAGCAAGCGGGCGTCCCTGTCCTGGGCGGCGGCTGGTGGAGATGAAACCCAGGTGAAGACGGACTAGGAAGGGTTACAGACAGACTTCTAGTGAAAACGTGAGGGGGAAAGTGGGCTTCCACTCAAACACCTTCAGATGACCTTTTCATTCTCCACAGGTTACAGCTTCAGGGTCTCCTTTGGAAAGCAAGGTACATTCCAAAAGCTTTATGCCTGACTATAAAATAAACTAACTCTTTGAAAATTAAACACTTAAGAAACTTTGAATTTGAACTTAGTAGAGGGATGGTGAGCTCAGGTGTGGCCACGTTAAACTGTGCATCACTTTAAATCACGGGGCCCTGTGGGCATCAGGCCTGAGGCGATCCCTTCCTCTTCAAGTAGATGCTACGGCGCTTCTGCCTCTGCATGTCTGCCCGCTGCCCAGGCCCCAGGTCATGATCCATACTCTTTTGGCATTTAATTTAGAATTTGGGCAACTCTTCCCAATAGCTCTCTCTCCATGAAGATAAATGGCATGGTGCTAGTAGCGCTATAACATTCTAGACCATAATCAGCATTTAACTTTCATTTTAATTGGAATTGGAAGTATGTCAACCATGATATTATTAAATATCAAGGAACACTATTTAGTTTATTTGGAAGTTACTCATTCTATTACCCTTTAGACCAAAACCCATAAACTATATTTATTCCTTATGAGTGGAGGAATCAAAACCCAGTAATGATTTTACAATGTGCACTGCACTAAGATCATGCCATTAAAGGACCATAAAAGGCAACATTAATACATTCTATTTGGGTATTTTCAGCTTTTTCTATCCCGTGCCCCCTCAAATATAGAGGAATTACTTCCTGACAAGGAAGAAAGGACATTTTTCATACCCTAACCTGAAAAGAAGCTTCTCTTACAGGTCCAGGAAACTTTGGTCAGCAGAGACACAACGCGAACCTCCGGCCTGGCTAAGGCACTATTCTGAAAGGTACAGAAAACGTGTACGGGTGACCAACCATCCCCCAAAAGGCAGCTCAGTGTATGCTGGGGGAAAGGCTGAGGTGTGAGCTCACCCCAAAATATCACGCGTAAGCCTGGAGTAGCTTCTATACTTTGGAAATGTTACGGTAATTGGCATGGCATGAATGAACAGCAATCTGTAATCCAGTCCTGCTCCAGGCGCCCCATCACTACAGAATGAAGGGGCGCCTCCAAGATGCACTTCGAGACAGCGGACTAGACCAGGAATGGACTAGACCAGGAACAAGAGTCAGCGGCACAGTACCGATGCACAAGGTCACTGCACAAGGTCACGGTGTTCCAAAACAGTCAGTCACCCAGTTCCACGCCCACCTCGTTGACCACCACCTTCCTTTCATCTGAGGGTGTCAACAGAACTGACTATGGGCATAATTCTTTACCACCGTGGGGAAGTAAGTTGTGAAGTGTAGCCACAAAACAATTTTCAAATAAACCTGATGCAACAGAAAGAGAGCGGAAACACACTTCGAGGTAAAAGCCCCAAAATTACAGGACATGGCCTTTTGCCAGAAGAAGTATTTTCTTACTATACTACTAAAGGTGAAGAAATCCTGTGGTCCAAATGAGTCATTTCGTAAATATTTAGCAGTTCCTTTCCTCTATCATGCAGATTAATTTCATTCTTTTGTACAAGGGCAACAGAACAGTAAAATGATTAGCCTAGAAACCCTAAAAAGAAGCTCTGCTCCCAGACCAAACGAACCCTTCGTCCAGTTCAGTTTCACGGACGCCACAGAACAAGGCGCACAAACCACAGCGCTGTCCTCCCTGAACCGAGTCGCTCCCCAGCCTCTGCGAGGCACCTCCGCAGCGAACGCAGAATCGCTGCCCCCATGCCCGGCATCAGCTTCGCACCTGTTTTCAGGGATCGTCTGTGTCTCACAGAAAGTCGCTGAATAGACCTTGACCTTTACAGACATTTTTTAAAATGAGTACAGAACCATGAGTTAGCTCCTTGACTCATTTCTACAAACCTAGGTGACAATTATTAGATTTACACATTTAAAAATTGAAATATCAATTACGTAGTTATTTTTACAAAGCAGCAGACAGAAATTCAACAAAGGAATACATTAGAATTAAATTTTAAAATGGTCACATTCACAGATAAATAATGGTTATGAATTTAATTACAGAGCAACACAGGGGTGCCTATTTTATCCAAGTGCAATCCATCCAAAAAAAGGGTTTAAGACACACTCTTCATTCAAGCACAAACTTAATTCAGTGGAAATTTTTAAAAAAGGAAGTTTCACCACCACCAAAGTAAATGGAGACAAAGTCAAAAAGAAACAGAAGAAAATATCTACATTCATGACAAGGTGTGATCTTTAAAACAACCACATTAAAATCAAAGGGATTTTGATGTTTGTCAGTAAACCTCAAAAATTACTCCGAGTTATATTAAAGAGACCGAGTACTCAGTAAGGCATACATATAAAATTTTCTTCAAGTGGGGAGGTGGGCAAGCTGGGGAAGAGAGAATTCCTCTCTACTTCTTTATCCTGAATGAAATTTTAAGAAACCACAGCACTCTCTCCTCCACAAAAAAAGAGACAGAGGGAGAGAGAGTGCAAGGCAGACAGGAAGGACAAACTGAGTCAGAAAACGAATTTTGCAGTGAGGTTCACAGTAGTAATTTCATAGCGAGGTTCGTGAGATTCGTACTCCGGAGTCACGTTCTCTAGTAAGAAAGCTCACCTGCGTTCCTCACAAGTAACTACCGTAAGAATCACGCAGTCACGTGCATTCATTTAATCGTGGTTCACAGGCACCAAATCTCAGCAACGTGCAGCTGAGGGGAGCGAGGGGGTGGAATGCCACATTCCAACAATGGACCGTGCCAACGGGTGAGCTGTAATTACAATCCACTCTCTACTGAGTCTCAATAGACTGTTTCTTTAAAAGAAAACCAAACCATTTACCAAGCTCAGTTCCATAACTAAGAGAGCCAGAATACTAGAGAATCTGAATATATATATACTAGTTCTCTTAGCACATGAGGACAAGGGCATTTCCATGGGAAAGAGGAACCAGTATTTGGCAAACCTGTACACTGTTCTGTAATCATTTGGCATCTGTCGCTGAAGGTGACTTGCCCTTACCTTTTCCCTACCTTAGATGTGGACTACTGATGGCTTCCATCGCTAGCAACCGAGCACAACTACTAAGTACCAAACATGAAAACATATTGTGGTTTTCTGAACGTTATCAGTGCTCTAAACCAATTTGTGGGCTTTGAAAATAATAAAAATAAAGCATCTTTAACTCTGTATGAACCAAAACATTATGGACTCATGAAGCTAAAATCACTAGAAACATTTTGCTGGTCTAATGTACATTATGCTTAACCGAAACATCACATGGTTTTATAAAAAAATAAAACAAGCTGGGAGTTAGTAGGTTCGAAATCCCGCGTTTCAGATGATGTGTACCATTCCTGCTGTTCAAGTACCACACGCAGAGTTCCCATGTCTGTTAAACAGATCAGTTTAGTTCGAAGGTGATGGATGAAATATTTACAAGCATCTTATTTACAGTACTTCTCTCTGTAGACTACAGGCCAACATTTGTTTCTTCCATTCCTAGTCAATCTGAGTTTGGCTTCCTCAATGAGAAGGGGTAAATCTGAAAATGGTCGCTCAGTTGCTTTACCTGTAGAAAACCAGAACAGGAGGCAGTGACAAACATGTATCTAATTCATTTTCAAAAGCACACAGACTTAAACCCCCAGAGACAACGATTTACTGACACAGCAAAACTCATCCGAAATAATGAAGGTGTTTCTGAGTTAGGATCACTGAAGAGCTAGGCGGCTCAGCACGAGTGCGGGCACCACCCTGGGAGCCCGGGCGTGACCCTGGGCCTGCCCGGCTCCGTTGTCCGGGTCCTTCCAGACCGCCCCAGACCACACAGGCTCACAGCAAATCTACTGACGAAGTACAGGGTCAGCTGATTGAGACTATCCAGTAGATCAAATATTTACATATGTAGACTCAATATTCGGCTTTTTATAACATTTCTAGGTAATCGTTCCTGAACCCAATGGAACAGTTTAAAACTAGATGTGTGAATTTTCAGAGGTTGAAGCCACGTTAGTTAGGGTACCACTGACGGGTATGCAAGCGCAAGTGCATGTTCCGTATGACTTAGCAGGTTCTACCTTCCGGCCAGAGGCTGCAGGAGTGGTAAGAGAGCACAAAGACAGACTAAAAGATGCTCCTAGAGTTCCTTTCAGTTAGCTTGTATTTATTTCCCAGATTTTAACAAAGAAAATGTAGACCTTAGTCATTTAAAGAAAAACGTGTTTGGGTTCGGTTTGGTACATGCATGGTTTTCCAGGCACCGGCAACAGTGCTCCACTTCATGCATACGGCAGATGAGCTATCAGGACAAAGGCCTACGGGTGTTACTACAAAGTACATAATGTTAAATCTGCACAAGTAGAAACATAAACAATTATGTCTTCATATCATAATTCATAGACTTATAATTTTTTTCCATAACAATTTCATCCATTTTGTCCCAACAAATGTGGGCTACTTTGGGGAGAAACAGAAAGAAGCCTAAGTTTAGCGATATATGCAAAGTATAAAGTTGTTATCTAGCATGACAGGTGCCCCCCCCCCCCCAGTTTGTAAATATGAACAACGATATAAAATTGTTTCTCGCCCTGGCTGGAGTGGCTCAGTAGATTGAGTGCCGGCATGTGAGCTAAAGGGTTGCAGGTTCGATTCCCAGTCAGGGCATGTGCCTGGGTTGCAGGCCAGGTGCCCAGTCGGGGGCGCATGAGAGGCAACCCCACATTGATGTTCTCCCCCCCCCCTCTCTCTGTCTAAAAATAAACAAATAAAATCTTTTAAAAAATTGTTTCTCAAACTGATTCACAGCAAGGTTCCTTTCAAAACAAGCACACCAAATAGAAGTATTTTAAGAGACATAAAAATGTGAATAGCCTTCTCCATAACCCCACTTCTATTAAATTATCATCTGAAAATAAGGCAAATAAAAGAAAAAATATTATTCCAGACTTGTCACTTCAACACTATTTATAACAGTGAAAATTTGGAAACAAACCTAAATGATTAAAATAACTGGGTCACGATTAAGTAAACTGGGTTATTATTAAGTAATCACCTTGATGGAATATGCTATACCATTCAAAAACCATGAGACCATGCTAAAATGTGTAAGATAATTAGAAAAGGATGTTGAAATGTGATGGAAAAGAAAATAAACTGCATGGTTCTGATTTTCATTTTATTATATCTATCTTAGTTCATTTGTCCTGAAACTAGTTTCTTATTTTAGAAGACAATATTAGGGTCTGCATAATACTTCTTAAATCCTTTCTCTTCTATATTTCCCCTTATGTATTATTTCTCCTGATGAGAACTCAGGAATAGAACAGATGAAGTAAAACCTCAAATAACGCGAAAGCCTCCCTTTGGTCTGAAGTCCTAACCTCCCCTACCACACTGCTTACAGAATCAGGCAGAGGGAGGGAGGGGGGCAGTGCTACCAAACCCATTTCAGTTTCTTTCCAAATTATGTTAACGAGCAACGAAAATACCCGTAAAGCTAAAGAAGCACACATAGAAATGATTTTTAAAATGGGGTTATCTAGTCCTATATAATTAAAAGCACAAAAAAGTTTATCATTCTCTTCACCAAGAAAATGATTTACATTTCTACCTACTTATAAACAAGAACTAATTCCTTATAATAATTACCTAGCTTTTAAATTAATTATAGTTATTATAACATATTCATTAGAGAAACAATCTTCAAAATTATACCCCTGAATGTTACCCAACGTTTAGAGAATATACCAAAATCCTCCCAGCTACTATAAGCAAGCTTCCGTTTGAAATTTTCCCTCACCTTCTTTCCACTATTTATAAGAACCAAATGAAACCAACATTTTTCCCCAATGGAAGCAATTTTATTCTAGATTACTCACCACTCGTACTCCATAATGGATGTGCGCCAGAGTGCAAACAGCTGTTAGTGCATACAGGAGAAGGCTCTCAGTGTACGCAGAGACTCCCAGGGTTACCACCATGACGACCAGGAGGAGAGGGGCCAGCAACCAGCTCAGAGTTGGACACCTCGTACTGCTCATCTGACAAACAATCAACTGACACTTGAAATTAGAAAAAAAAAAAGGGGGGAATTTAATCAGCAAGCCACTTTCAAAACTTGTCACTCCAACATTTAAAAAGCATTCAAGTGCTTGAGCCAACACATTTATGCTACGTTATGTTCAGTCACCTCAACTGCTCAGGGGCCAACGGGGCCTCTGCTCCCACCTCCAAACCTGTGGCCCCCTTGGACCGTGTGTGTGTGCCGGAAGAGTCTTGTTAGATAATTTAGTAAGGATGCCGCAGAAGGCATTCTTCCACTGGGTAACAGTGTGGGTAAAAGAAATTTTAAGATTCTATGTTACGTAAAAAAAAAATTTTTTTTTTCAAAACCGCAACACAACAAAATTTCTTCATGGAGATGAGATGTTACCTCCAACTCAGTCGATTTACCAGTGAACACCTCAGAACCTCTTCGGCTCCCTTTACTTTCAACACCTTACTCAAATACACTTTATGCTTTTGTAAATGCTTTTTATACATGGAAACATAAGCTCAGGGGTTAAGTAAGAAAATAAAAAACGTATTAAGAATCTGGCCTCAGCATAGGCTTCCCAGCTGTCAAAACTATCACGGTCTTTTCTCAACTCCTAATTTTTAAAAACATGTTATGTTTATCACATAGTTTATAATTCCATGTCCTTAATTTAAAATCAGTTGATTTAAAAAATGTGTGGGATGAGTGTGTGTGATGTGTTTCCTCTCCCGCAACAACCCCTCGTGCTCCCTACACTAATCGTGTCTGCAGCCGTATTTCCGCGACACGGGTCATATTTCCAGTCTTAGAGGAACCTATAAATGACCCCGTGGATTCTTCGGCAGGCCACCAAAACAAAAAATGTCAAGTATGTCATGGTTCCAAAATACTACTGCAGTCTCTAAATCCTACTGGTTTCTAAGGGAAAAATAAAAATAATTTCAGCATGTTCTGTCTTTGAGGTTATAGTTTTTTGTTTTTTTTTCAAATTCTGCATTAAAATCTCTTTAATTTAAAACTTGGTTTTTCTACTACTGCATAAGGCTTCTCAAATTACCGAACTCTGTCACATGTTCCCTGTATACCGGGGCTTCAAAAACAGTCTTACTGTGCTATTGGCAAAGGCCGTGCCGACCATGAAGTAGAACAGCCTCGGGTGTAGCTCTAAGATATCCGAAGGCGACTGCAGGATCCACACTGTACACAAAGTGAACAGCAGACACGGAGAAAAGATGGGAACCATGGCTTCATAGACTGAACTGTGTTTCAAGGTGTTATTTCTGTAGCTTCTGAAAAAAAAAAAAATCAAGTAATACTAAGAACATGATTACATGTAAAACTTGTATCTGCATTTTATAATTTTCAAAGTACTTTCTAAAAAACTGTTATTGTATGACAGTTGTCCCAGTTTTCCCCTCAAAGTACTTTTGTACATATTCTCTTACGTTATATTCGCCACAATCCTGTGGCATAGGTAAGAATCTGTTTCAGTGAAGACATGAGAATTTACATGTCCTGCTCCAAAGTGGCAGGGCCAGGACTAGAACTGAAGTCCCCTGGCCCAGGCCCGTTTTTACCCCTGGAATGTAATAACGCCTGGTCTTTGTTCCATGACGCGGTTTTCAACTGGTGAGCCGCAAGAGGCACACTGGTGTGCCGCCGGAATTTCAAAAACAGGCAATGTGTCTGACTACTTAGTCAGGTTTAGTCAAGAGGACTGTCCTCTTTCCCTTAGATTGTCTAAAGAAAAAATGATAACCGAACACCTATATAATTGTATGAACCAATGTCGCATTGGTTACATTTACATTGATTAATTTGAAGTTTTAAATTCAATTAAAAAGTTAAAAAAAAAGCCAACACAACAGCCATCCAATGTGAATGATTCAAAATTATACCTATTTTTTGTCAGACCAGCAAAATTATATATATATATATGTATATATATATATAATGTATGTGTATATATGTATATATGTATATATGTATATATATATGTATATGCTGCTGAATTTTTGTAATTAGTTCATGTGTGCCCCGAGATGAAAAAGGGTGAAAACCGCTGTTCTACAAGATCATATTCTAACAGGGAAAAGAAAATGAACACAAAGCAATGCCAGAAGGGGGCCTCCCGATGCTGCTACGGCACGAGTGACACAGAACCTGAAGTGATAAATGATTCACACGGAAGACTCTGCAATGAGGCTGCGGACAGCGCCGCAGTGTCTCCAAGCACGCTCGCTCATCTGAATGGAGCCCCAGGTTCTAGCTCTGGGTCTGCCACTGATTGCGTGCCCTTGGCCAAGGCGTTGCTCAGTCAGGACCTCATCTTAAGATAAGCAGGAGATGACTGAAATAATCTCTATGGCCTTCAACCTTTAAATTTTATGACTTCTCTGAATGATTGCTAGTTGTAATAAACAGAGAAGATTCACAGAGCGTGCCTTGACGTGGAGTGGATTCTGCAAGACAGATCTGAGAGATGAAGGATGAAATAGGAAGTACAAGAAAGTTTTTCTAGTAGAGGAAACGGTGGAAGCAAAAACTGAGCAAAGAGCCCTGGCTGGTGTGACTCAGTAGATTGAGTGCCAGTATGCGAACCACAGGGTCGCCAGTTCGATTCCCAGTCAGGGCACATGCTTGGGTTGCAGGCCAGGTTCCCAGTAGGGGGCGTTCAAGAGGCAACCACACATTGATGTTTCTCTCCCTCTTTCTCCTTCCCTTCCCCTCTCTCTAAAAATAAATAAATAAAATCTTTAAATAAAGAAAAAAATTTTTCAAATACTGAGGAAGGGAAAAGCATAGATCAGAAAATGAAATTCCACCTGGGCAACTCCCCTCTCCAAACCCCATCCTCCTCCACAGGCAGGAATGATAATATTCCTGTTTGAGAAGAGTTAGTACAGGTCTGGGAATTGGTCCTAACCTACACAAATTTAGTTCTTTTTTTCTTTTAATGATCGTGCTAAGTACACTTAGAGATAATCAATTTATAAAAGAGAATGTGAATGTATCAATACTCCACAGGAACATACTTCCTGTGGACAGATGCACTCCCAGAAAACGACAAGCTGGAAGACCGCTGGGTGGGCCCAGAACTGGAGCACGGGCACAAGGACGGGCAGCTCTGTGCGCTGTCGAAGTGCCACACCAGCCACCGAGACACCCTCCTTTACCCTGACCTCACTCCACACTCAAAATACGGGCTCTCAACCTCTTCAACGTGTCCGCCGAGACTCCAAAGAAAAAGAGACCCTGAAACGCATGTCAATTACAATTTCTACAGATTTCCTTATTTCCGACCCAATTAAAAAATAAAATGCACAACAGTGTGGTGACTGCTGGGGTGGGGGTGGGTATAAGGGGACTAAATGGTAAACAATGAAGATAAATTTTAAAAAATAAAATAAAATACTTACTTGTAGAAGTTGAATAAACTCATTGGAAGAGTCACAAATAACGCACAACCTAAAAGGGAAAATGTTTAAATCATCATGATTATTACTCAAGTGACTTTTATAATAATCAAATACATACAAAATATGTACTATTTTTAGACACAATGATTTTCAGGTTCCAGTTTAATGTCTGTGGTGAAATAAAACATGCTCCTGGACAACAGTCACGGCCGGCAGAGGGGCCGTGCAGCTGGCTGACTCAGCGCAGACTCCACGGAGCCGCACTGGACTTCCGTCCAGTTGTGCCACCCACTGCGTCACATGACTTCAGGTAAGTGAACCTGCCTCAGTTCCCTCCTTTATAAAATAAAGGTAAAAGGAGCACTGACCCCAGAGAGTTTTGAGAATTAAATGAATTATTCCATGTAAAGACACCTTGAATAGTACCTAGTATATAATGTATTGTTCAATAAAGGTGAGCTTCTGGAAGAGGGGATAGCCAGGGGATCCTGCTCCTTCCCATCTATTTTCACCTCCCTGGTATTCTCAACTTCCCCGCCCCTCCCCACCCCACACACACCAGTTCTCTCCTCTCAAACCTAAAAACAAGAATGGCCTTCCCAAGAAACCCTGCCTTCATTGCTTCCGCCCTATCTATCTCCTATCACTCACCAAAATTTAATTTTCTGTCGCCTTAATTCCTCAGCACTCAAAAGCTCATTCTGCCTCCCTATCTGCAGAAATTGCATTCTTAAAATTTACCCAGCTCTCCTAATGGTGAAATTCAATATTCTTTCTTCTTTCTTGACTTCTAGGTAAGATGACTCCATTAACTATGCACTAATTGCAACTCTTTCCTCCCTTTGCCTTTGTGATTCCGTTCTCCCAATGTCCCTGTTACCCATCCAACCATTACATTTGGTCTCTTGGTGGGAACTCTACCTCCTGCACCTTCTTAACTGGCCGTCCTACTGTGCCTCCACAACCTGGTTAGGTGCTCTTGGGCAAATCAGACAGTCTCTCTGAGCTTCAGACTCCTTAGCTGTATGACTATAGGTTAAATGATTTTCTAGTATTTCTTGCATCTTCAAAATTCTACGATTCTATAATCTACTGAGGTATAAATTCATGATCTTTATTTTAAACTCCAAATCAATGCATGTGGCACTTCCTGGACACCAGTTGGATATCTCATTGCCACTCAACATATTAGCCCTAGGTTGTCCATTCTGGACTCCCAATAACTGTGCATGGCTTGGGTGGGGAGAGGTGTCCATGCAGCTATGCTTGTAAAGCTCAAAGATAGAAAAGCATCCCTTCAAAACAATTCCTAAGACATGTTGCAAAAACAGATGAAATCATTGGAATCCACAAAAGAAAAACCTCATTTCTATTTCCAAGTCCAGCTGGAACAAAGTTCCCCAAGTTAGGTGATTTTAGAAGGAAACAAAGGAGAGGATATGTGGTCCTCAAAGTCCTCAGAAATTTCCAGCAGTTTACTCCATGAAACGGAGTCAAGGCTAAGTGAATTAACAGAGAATTACATGTGGCTCTGAGGTGCTGGACAGAGACTGAGAGAGACTTGCAAAATGTTTGCTACCAAGAACAGTTAGTGGTGTAAAACAGCTTCAAGTAGCTTTACCCTAAGTGCAGGAAGCATGCAGAAAAGCCTGGGCTCTATACAGGCTGCCTGTATAGGAAGAAGAAAAAGAATGCATCTAATAATTCTTTTCTAACAAGCACTTAATGTGTAGTCTATGAATCCTTAATTATTAAATACTTCCCTATTAAACTCTACCTAACAGTGATAGAACCCACACACGTGCAGACCTGCCTTCCATAGTGTGTGGGAAGGCGCAGACTTCATACTACAGGAAACTTAATAGCTACAGAAAAATTAGAGTAGAATTCACAAGAAAGAATTGAATGAGATATACTCCAAGGAAAACATAGTCACATAACATATTTTGGTTCCTTGTATGTCCAGGCTTATTTATTAAACAGGAACTTCAACTAGAACCAAGACAAAAGTACCTTAAGTAAAGTGAAAAAGCCAAAACAAACAAGGGGGGGATTATAATATACATCAAGAGAAAAGATCAAAATACCTAATATAAAAGGGTTTCTAAAAATAAAGAAAATGGTTAATAATCCTATAGCAAAACTTCACTAGACATATAAAAAGTATACAGAAAAAAAGGCTACAAATGGCTCTTAAACACTAGAAAAGTCATTCACAAAATAAGAGAAATGCAAATTAAAACTATAGATATATCAGTTCTTACCTATCAGATTAGCAAAAATCCAGAAGTTTGACAATATACTATGCTGATAAAACTGTAAATAAATAAGCACTTTCATACACGGTTGGTGAGAATTTAAAAGAAATTTGTCCTTTACTAGCAATTCTACTTCTAGGGATCTCTTCCAAAATACCCTGGTAAAAATATAAACAGACATACGCATGTACAAGACTATTCACTGCAGCAATGTGTGGAACAGCCAAAGACTGGAAACAACTCAAACGCCCGCCAGCAGAAAGCCAGCTGAATGAGCTCTGACACAGCCCCACAGCAAAGCACCAGGCAGCTGCTAGTGCAGTGAAAAGTGTACAGTACATTACCATTCATCTATAAAAAGGGGTGATAAAACCACATGCATGCACGCACGCACATTTATTTATATTAAGAAACAACGTAAAGATAAACCAAAAATCCGAAACCAAGAATGGTTACCTAGCCCTGGCTGGTGGCTCCACTGGTCAGAGCACCCCCTGTACACCAAGAATGGTGAACCAGGAGGGAGGAGAGAATTACAGCAGTGACCGCAGTTGATTTTCATATACAGATCTGACTTCATAATCATGTGAGTATTTTATATAAATACAAAGAAAAAGTAAATTTTAAAAGAAAAACTAATCCCTAAAAATCAAAAGTAAAATGAAACAAACCAAAATGTATATATCTAGTTGGCAGCATAGCCACAGAATGGTAACATTAAAGTAGAGTAACCTCACTGGGTATCTCCAGTAGAATACGCCATGAGGATAAATGGAACCTCAAAAAACCACAATCTTAGCCCTGGCTGGTGTGGCTCAGTGGATTGAGTGCTAGCCTGTGAACCAAAGGGTCGCAGGTTGGATTCCCAGTCTAGGGCACAGGGCTGGGTTTCGGGCCAGTTCCTCAGCAGGGGATGCATGAGAGGCAACCACACATTGATGTTTCTCTCCCTCTCTCCTTCCCTTCCCCTCTCTAAAAATAAATAAATAAAATCTTTTTTAAAAAACAACCCAAATCTTGAACAATTTTCAGTAATCATTGTTGCTGATTTTGGGGTATTTTGTAAAGTAAATATTTTGTGTCATTGAAAACAAAGATTTTTGTCACTGTTTAAAGGCTACAAACACAAAATCAATGAAGTTAAAAATCCATATGATCAAATCTGATTTGGAACTATCAGTATGAACTTAAAAGATATTTTATTAAAAACAAACTTTGTCAGAGCCCTGGCTGGCATAGCTCAGTGGATTGAGCGTGGACTGGGAACCAAAGTGTCCCAGGTTCGATTCCCAGCCAGGGTACATGCCTGGGTTGCAGGCCATAAACCCCAGCAACCGCACATTGATGTTTCTCTCTCTCTCTGTCTATCTCCCTCCCTTCCCCTCTAAAAATAAACAAATAAAATCTTAAAAAAAAAAAAACTTTATCCACTGAATTAATGGATTCCTAAGCACAATCATCAATGTCTGTTAATACTACTAGGTAAGGAGCTGATGCAGAACTTTGTAATAGATGGGAATAGACATACAATACCTCAACCCTCTCTCTGATCACTATTCACATCAAAATAAAGAGAAACAACTTGATATTGTGTCCTCCTAAAAGTATCATTACGTAATAAGGATTGTTGCCAAAACAACAAAATTAAACTTATATCTAACCAAGTCTGTGGATCTGTTAGTTTATAGGGAAAAAAAGAGGGAGAAAAACATGTTAAATGACACAATGAAAATGTAATTAGCAAAATGCTGAATGCAAAGAAATTTTTTTAAGTAGTCAATAGAAACTTATTCTGAAGTGGACCCAAATGCTAAATTTGGCAAACAGATTTTAAAGTAGCTATTTTAAATATGTTCAAAGGACTAAAGGAAAATATGGTGATAATGAAAGAACAGATAGGAAATTTCAACAGAGAAATGGAGTATAAAAAGAACCAAATGGAGCCCTGGCCAGTATGGCTCAGTTGGTTGGAGAGTCATCCTGTAACCAAGTTGCAGGTTCGATTCCCGGTCAGGGCACATGCCTAGGTTGAGAGTTTGATCCCTGCTCTGGGTGTAGCTGCGGGCGACCCCAGTCTATACACATGCAATCCCTGGTCCAGACGCCAATACCCAGTCACAGCATGTATGGGAGGCAACCGATCAATGCTTCTCTCCAGCATCGATGTTTCCCTCGCTCCCTTCCTCTCTCTCTAAAAGCAATGAAAAGAAATGTCCTTGGGTAAGGATTAAAAAAATAAAAATAAATAAGAAATTTAAAAGAACCAAATGGATCATCTGGAGTTGAAAAGTATGATAACTTAAATGATAAGTTCCATGCAAGATTCACCAGACAGCCTTAAGAGGTGATGGGAGATAGCAAAACAAAAAAGGAGTGGACTAAAAGATAGATGAATAGAAATCACATACTAAAAGAGAGAGCAAAGATTAAAAATATTAATAAAGCCTCATAAAATTACCTGTAGGATATCATCAAGAGAAGCAGTCTAATACACATGTAAATGGAGCCCCAGAGGAGAAAACAAAGACAGAATAAAAATCTGAAGAAATAAACTGTGGCTAAAAACTTCCCACATATAGTAAAAAATATTAACTTAACAGATCCAACAAGCTCAACAAACACCAAGAAGAACAAACACAAAGAAAACCACACCTATGTACATCGTAGCCAAACTTTCAAAAACCAAAGACAGAAAATCTTGAAAGCAATGAGAAAAACAATGCATCACATACAGGGTGATGACGAGATACAAGCTGGCTCAGAAAATGGGGATGCCGCAGGACATTAGAATGACATATTCAAAGTGGTGAAAGAAAAACCAAGGCAAAATGAAGACATTTTCATACAAACACAAACTGGAGAATACAATGCTATCAGACCTGTTCTGTAAGAAATGCTAAAGAGAGCACTTCAGACTTCTGAGAAGGAACACCGCACTTTGTCAGCATACAAAAAGGGATGAAGTGCAGCAGAAATGGCAATGGTGTGGGAAAGTAGAAAAGACTGTGGATCATAAACCAGCCTAAGGGTTATGGGGTGGCGGTGCATTTGAAATAAGATTGGCACTCGTACTGAAAACTGTCAGAGGTGGGTGATGGCACATAGAGATTTATTATATAAAAGCAGCAATAGAATACAGGTGTTTAAATGTTCTCATAATAAAAAGAGGGGGAAAAAATGAGAGCTCGAATCTTGACATTGCACCCAAAGAAGGTGCCATCCCTAATGGCCAACAGGAGCCACCCCACCTTCTACCAACCTTTCAGCACTCCTTGCTTCACTGCACGCAGCCCAGCCACCCGGGCACCAGCACTACCAATTTTATCAGCAGAAACTAAGTAGCCTAGGCCCTAAGGCCCTTCTGTCTGTATCTACTCAAATCTAGTGCTGGAAAAGCTACTTTACTTATTTGTAGAGAAACATGTGGGCTTTTGTTTTATTTCAGAGAGAAAGATTCAGATAAACATATAAATGACAAAGAAAATTATGTGCCCAATAAAGTACCCACTTAACATTCACAAACATATCTCATGTATCAGAGAATTCTAAATTCTTATTCTAATTCTTATCTTTAAAATTTAGCATTTAAATGTAGAATGCAGGAAACCTGCTATAGGACAGGCTGCCTAAGATCAAAAGATTCACTAGGTGGCGGGAACTGGAAAACAGCTAGCCTTTTCAAGGTCAAGAAATCAGTCTACGTAGGTACCAGAAAGTGAACATTTGGTGGATTACAGCAGGGTTCCCAAAATATCTGTGCCCCAGAGCCACGTGACAGCCAGTGCCTAAGGCACCATTTTCTCCGCTGTTTCAAAGCTTTACCTAATTCCCATTTCAACAAAAGGAGACAGGCTTACTTTCTAGATAAGGGAGTAGAGCAATAGCCAACAGGTCTGCTTTTTTACTTCTACAAAGCTCTTCAGAGCCACTCCTGACGCTGCCAGACAACCCAGAGTCCTCGTCCTTTTTGCCTCTTTCCACAGAAAACACTCTCCCCAACTCAGTCATCCTACAGATACCCCCTTCGGCTAAATTAAAAGGGAAACACTGCCATGATTAAAACCTTGCCCTAGTATTCAGTGGCACAAGGAGATACCTACGATGAACAGAGGCTCAGTTTTTCAGTGGATCTATTTCAAAGTAACCTTCATTCTGTTTCCTACGAATACTCTTCCACTTTGAGATAAGTAGAAAATCTGTACCAAATGTGATCTCCAGGTGGATATTTCAACACAATCTAGATTAATTTGAATAATTAACAAGGTTTGTATGGTCTATTTTGATATTTTCTTCCCATTGAAAATAGCTTAATGCTGTACAACAGCAAAACTCAAAGAAACCTTAGTTTCCCTCGTGATTCGGTTGAAATCCTGCAGGGCTGTAGGGCTGCCCTGCTTGCTGTAGGGTGTTGGCAAGGGAGAAGGGTATTGCTGCTTGTTAGAGTCAAACACTGGCTTTGATAACAAAGTGATGTTAAAATAGGCTTCAACATGGAGCTTCTTACCAATAATCATTGCAGTGAATAGGTCTCTATATAAGAAATTAAACAGGAAAGGTTCATACCAGGCCTCAACTCCCACAATCGCAGTCACTATGTAGACAAAAGAAACAGTCTGGAAGGAAAATGCAGACAAAAGCAGACAAAGGCATTAACAGCGGGAAAGACCAGGGAGTCGATCATGCTTTACGCAGCATTAAGTCTAGGTGAACAGTTTTAGTAAAAGCAAGAAGTATGCTTAAATTCAATATTGTGGCAAGTCTTCTTGCCTTTAAAAAAAATTTTTTTTCAGCCAACAATGCCATAAAATAACTAACTTCTAGACAATGAAAGCAACCGGCCATCATTTGGAACACTTTAAGGCACCTCCTAAGTGGGGTGAGTCGGACATAAGGTGACCCGATTTGCCCACCCAACCGCTTTCCTCATCAAAAACATCCCAATTTCTGATTTGTTACTGGAGCCTTAGGTGCAAATGGGCAAAATGGCAACACAAAAAGCGGTTTTCAAAGGCAGGGAGTGTTAACAGCAAGCCTATTAAGTAAGAGAAAACAAATCTCACCACTCACTGAAAAGTTGGGGACAAGGACACAAAGCCAACAATTATGTGCATATCTTTCCTTTACAAAATCAACAGTTAAAATGAAAGTTTGTCAACATTAAGAAACCGTTCATTTTTTGGTGTAATAATGGCATTGTGTTTATGCTTTTTAAAAAGAGCTCTTACCATTAAGAGATATGTAGTAAAATACTTATCACACATAATATTTATAAAATAATTGGGCAGGGAGGGAGAGGGGAGAAAGGGTAGGCATGAAACTAGGCTGGCCACGTGTTGGTAACTGCTGAAGCTAAGCATCAGGTACATAAGGGTTCACTATACTATCCTCTCTACTTTTGTGTTATACTTAGAATTTTCCATAAATACATAAAAATAGTATTTCAATATGAGGTAATTTTTTTTAAAGCACACATCAGTTCTAATAAAAAAAAAACATAAGGGCAATAGAGGAAGTATGACAAAAACCTCCCCCCAAATTCATGCAATGTTGACAATTTAAGTTAAAACACATACTTACCACCTGGCTAATGTCATATCCCCACGGCAGGAAGAGAACCCCTGTGTTATACTTTTCCCAGTGGGACAGGATAAAAGAGAACAAAACAACCCACAGCAGCAGATAAAGAACGAAAACACTGACACCAGATGATCCTCGTCCAAAGATGGAATACACAGTCACAACAAAGTAAACACATGACCAACTGTCCAGGCCATGGTCAAAAAGTTCCCCTAAGGGGGTGCTGGAATTGGTTCTGCGGGCTTGCTTTCCATCCACACCGTCTGCAATGAAAACACAGTACCACAGGAAAAGGTCAAATCTGAACTGTAGGCAGAAAGGCTTCTTTAATAAACTGGAAAAAACAAACGAAAACAAATCAGCACATCACAGGAATGTTAATTAACTAAAGTACAGCTATCAGCCTGTACTATAAAAATCTAACCTTTAATTCCTACAACTCAAATATTTCAGAAACAAAACCAGTAATTTCTCTAAATTTAATCTAAAAAAATTAAAATGTTACATTGCACTGAATGGTGTCAATTTTAGATCTAAGGAAGCAGCATTCTAGTTAGACTCCTAATTTCTCCAAATTGGCCTAACAACTGAATCATTCTACAAGCCACAAATTCTCAAGCCTCCAGAGAACATTCAGTAGTTATTCATTGTATTTTACCCAACCACTCCTTGCTTTAAGATCCAAAACCACTCTGTACTTCAGCTATAACACCTATTTCACCTTGTTTGATATTGTAGCTCTACCACTTCCACAATTTTCAGTGCTTCCAGAAAAACTTTTATACATAGTAAATAAGTTTCAGTAAACGTAAGAATTTGTTGAATCCATACAATACACCTTTCTCGATTTTGTAAAGATTACAAGAATCTTAGAATAAACTAATTTTGCGCCCTTGGAGTGTTTACAACTGATAAAGGAGGAAAAACGTGGTAATTAAAGACAGCGCATCACAAGCCGTAGAAGAGTACGGAAAAGGGACAGGTTCTCTTCGGCCTAAGATCATCTAGAATGGCTTTGAAGACAAGATGAAACCTGAGTGGGGACATAAAGCATGAGTTGGATTTCAGTAGAGGAGAGATAAAGGAGTATGCCATTTCAAGAGGAGGGAGTGCTATCAGCAAAAACACCGAGATGGAAAAGCACGTGCCTGTTCAGATAAAGCCAAGTAGTTTAGTTGGACGAGAAACCAGCAGGTGCAGAGGGCAGTATAAAGAGGCTAGAAGGAAGGTTTGCGTCAATATAAAAGTTCTAGGGAGTATGAGGAGCTACTAAAAGTACGTGAGTAAGGGAGCGACGAGACGGAAATCAATGAAGTGGCTTGGGAAGATTCCCCTGAAGTCAGTGTGAAGAACGAGCAGGAAGGGGAACAGGAATTAGTAAGCCAACACTGAGAGGGAACGGGGGCAGGAATGAAAAGCTGGACCAGGTGAGACAGTAAGTAAATAAAAATGAAAGATGAGAGGCCAGGCCAAAGGACAAGGAGACCATCTCCAAAGTTTCCAGTCTAAGTAGCACCACAGTGGCAGTGCTGGCAGAAATAAGGAAGTCATCAGGAGAAGGAGCAGGAATGACAGGAAAGATGCCGAGTACAATCTCAGAGGCTGAAACTGAAGTGTTAGCAGGATATCCAAGTGGTAATGTCAACCCAAGGGTACCTACTGGTAACTAAGAAGATAAACAATAGCTAGCTATAAACAAAGGAGTCATCTCAATAGTATTAAGAATCAGGATTTCCAAAGGAATTAGGAGAAAGAAAAAGTTAAGGATAAAGGAGAAGGGAACAACCCCATTTAGAGGCAGAAACAGAGGAGCCTGGGGGAAGGAAATGAAGGCAGAAGCAGAAGGCGTAGGTAGGAGGGGCAGAGGAAGACGAAGGGGGAGAGATGGGGAAAAGAAGAGAGAGAGAATGGTAAACTTCATTAAAAAGGAAAGTCTAAATTATAAAAGTTTCTCCCCAAAAGAAACAGTCTTGTTAAGTAAGCGCATTAGAATTAGGCAGATTTAGAGAAATTAGAAATTCCTTGCAATTACTGTATTTCTTTCTCATCATAATACTATCTTGCCTACCATAGTACTACCCTCGTGCCTAGCTCAGTTTGTGCCAGAGAGGGCTTTCAAAAATACTGGTCAAGGGCCCTGGCTGCTACGGCTCAGTGGATTGAGCACAGGCCTGAGAACCAAGGGGCTGCCGGTTTGATTCCCAGTCAGGGCACATGACTGGGTCGCGGGCCAGGTCTTCAGTAGGGAGCAGGTGAGAGGCAACCACACACTGATGTTTCTCTCCTCTCTTTCTCCCTCTTTTCCCCTCTCTCTAAAAATAAATAAATAAAATCTTAAAAAAAATATATTGGTCAAGGAACATATAAAGGATGAAGGCCAAGCTCCTGCCCAAAGGCCACAGATCTCTCTTAAACAAGGTCTTTCTGCCCTTAAGTAACTAAAATATTTCCTAAGTCTATTCTCGTTATCTGCTGGCTTAATTTCCCATTTTCAGTGCAACTTCTATGCAGTTATAATAAATACTGAATTCATGAATTACATATTAATTAGGTTTTGTGCATCTTTTCACCGAACCCACCCCAGCTCCACAAGTCTGAGGTCTAGATATGCGTCAGAGTGGTGGTGTTTTTTTTTTAAAGAAAGGTCATTCAGGGGATGTGCCGTATATTATTAGAAACCGCAGTGAGTCCTAGAGCAACACCCTACAGTTAAACATGTGAACAATTTCTGCGGCAAAATGTAAGCACAGTCACACTAGAATAAAGGTTGTAAATTGCCTCATGTTAGTTCCAGATGGGTTCTGCAACAAAGAGTTCATGTTAGGTCTGGATTTTTGCCAGACCTGTGGACCTGAAACAAGCAGATCACACGGTATATCACAAGGCTCTTATGAAATGCTAAAAGTTAAAAGGCAGAGCCCACAGGCTACCCTAACCTTTCCCCTACTCCTCGGCAACCAAGTAGTTTTAAAACCTTCTCATCTTTAATAACAAATGCACGAAAGCCTCTACCTAAATATGTAACTAAGCTTCTTCTCTAATTCTTCTAGACTTCATTGCGGTTCTGGTCATCCGCCATGTCAGCATTTACTCACGTACCAGATCATACTGGTTTTTACAAGTGTAAGTCATTTTTATCTGAAGAGATCTAAGCAACATGAACTCAGAGTCTGCTAGTTCACATGCATTTAAAAACTACATACTGAGCGCCTATGTTCTAAACACTGGGTACAGAGCAGTAACTAAAACAAAGTACCACCCTCGAGAAACGTACATTTTAAAGCAGACAGGCAACAAACAGGTGGGCAAGTAAATGAATACTGGGTCATAGGATTTTAAGTGCTATGAGAAAAATAAAGAAGGAAGGGATGCAAAGAGAATGCAGGATAGGTCATTCGGAGAATGCAATGAAGAGCACTCTCAGCAGAATACACAGCATGGCCTAGTACAGCAGACTTCCCTGACCACTCCCTCCGCCGGGTAAGAACTGATCTCTTTCTTATTTGTTCTCCCACCACGCTCTATACAGTATCTCAGTGTTCTGCAATTATTTGGTACGTCAGTATTGCTTCCCAAACTTAAAGCAAAAATAATGTCTTATTCCGTAAGATGGCAAATATTTTTTTGTAAAATATTTACAAAAGAGGCAGATAGTAAACAGCTTAGACATTCTGGGTCATACAATCTCTTGTTGGCAACTACTCAACTCCGTCTTTGTTTCATGAAAACAGCCATAGGCAATATGTAAAGGAATGAGCATAGCTGTGTTCCAACAAAAATCTACTTACAAAAAAGAGACAACATGCCAGTCTGACCCACGAGTGCTGGTTTGCCAACTCCAATCTTACCCTTTAAGTCCCTGCCAACGAGTGACAGTGTTTTTCACAGAGAAGCTCAAACACATATTTATCAAATTGAACAGAATTTAATAAGGCCTAGCTAAAAATGAATGAAGCATAGGAGAAAATGCTTAATTGAGTGGATGGCTATCGTTGCTGACATACTCATCAGCCATTGACTAGAGCGTGTTTGCCAATTCCTTACCTAAAGTGTAGGCTACGAAGTTGAGGATGCCCACTACAATCCAGACCCAGTCGGGCACATGCTTGTGGCCTGGTGCTGCAAAGGAAAGCAACTCTGAGTTTAACACAGTCTAAATACAATCAGTCTTACCGGAGTATATCCTGCCAGGGGAAAAAGTTCCTATTTACTAAATAGAAGTTACAGTACTTTACAATACATTTTATTTTATTATTATTCTTTTCTTATCCTCACCCGAGAACATTTTTTCATTGCTTTTTAGAACGAGAAAAAGCAAGAGAGAGAAACATAGATGATAGAGAGAAGCACCTATTAGCTGCCTCCCGTACATGCCCAGACAGGGGATTGATCCCACACAACCCAGGAATGTGCCTCGACCAGAAATCAAACCCACAGCCTTTCGGCGATGGGACAATGCTCCCACCAACTAAGCCACGCCAGGCAGGGCATTTTGCAATATAGTTTAAATGCAGAACCAGGTAAATATTAAAATATATCAGTAAACTCTGAAAAAAAAAAAAAACACAAGGCAACTGTCCAACCCCTCATAAACAACAGACATTTATTTTGAGCTTTAATCCTAATTCAGGACTGATTAACTCATCTTTACTTAAAAACTACTTATGTAGAATGAAAAAATAACATTTTTGGAGTTTGAGAAAATGCTTGTGTTCAATCTGATTCTCATTATTTATAGTTATACCACAAACACGTACTAAGGTTTCAACCTACACTCTCTTACTACATTAATTAGCTAAATAAAAGACCTTCAGATTTGGGTACAGACAAATTACCTCAACTGCATGATTCTGACACCAGAATCATAATGAAAGGTCTGGACCTCACTTTTTCCCAAGATAGAACAACTAAGAATCAGGAGGCCTGTCTCTGGATGGGTAGCTCATTTGGTTACAGCACCGTCCCACATGCCAAGGTTGCAGGTTCAATCCCCAGTCAGTGCACATACAAGAATCAACCAATAAATGCATAAATAAGTGGAACAACAAAAATCAACATTTCTCTCTCTCCCTCCCATCCCCCAATAGCCCTTCCTCTCTCTTTAAAAAATCAATGAAAAAAAAAGGATCAGAAGCCCTGGGTTCTAGTCCTGGCTCTAAAATCAATGAACACTGTGACCTGAATACGTCACTTAACCTCTCTTGTCTTCCACTTCCCAAATATACTGGGACTAGATGGTTGACTTGGTCCTTCAAGTTCTATGATTTGAAAAAAAATATATAGTATTTACATATTTTTAGTTCTCTTAATAACTAAGTAAATATTCTTAATTAAAGAAAATAATATTTCTAGTTAGAAAGCAAACTTTTGAGGCTGTCCTGAGGATTAAAATACAAAATTTTAAAAACACATTATCAAAATCATGCTTAATGAAATTTATTCTTCCTTATTATTCATATGGTACTTTATGAGCGTCAATGTACAGAAGCTGTGACTAAAAGTTTCAGTTTATAAAATTAGGTATGTATATTTAGAATTTCTATAATAGCAAAATTCCTAAGTGTTTAAAACTCCAATTTTTCCTACAAAAATAATGTTTTCAGTGATTGTTAATTTTTCCAAGTTAGTCCACAAAAGTCTGCTGAACCCAGAACACAGATGAATTGTAATACTAAAACTCCTGACTTCCTCACTTATAAGTATTCTTATTAGAAAATATCTTCTCTAACTAGAATGCCAAAAATACTCATCTACCTCCATCTTTCTAGTCCTCCAAATCCCATCAACCAGATGAAAAGGTAAAAATAAAACCTGTCTCCCACTATCCACCCCCATCCTAAACACACTCCGTATACTCCCTCCTATCACCGGGGCAGCAGCGGGTGTGCAGGTGCTCAAGGCAGAAATCAGCCTGAAAGACGACGCTGAGTGTCCCCAGGTGGGGACAGGCTGAAAGCAGCCTTCCCCAAAGTGACTTTTTCCCAGTCTTCCTCAATGAGAACCCAGACTCCATCAATAAATACTTCAACATCTAAGAATCTAAGGAACTGGGAACCACTAGAAGTAAGAATGCTGAGCAGAGGGAAAGAGATACTACATTCCCTTCAGAAAACGGGATTTTGCACCCATCGCTAGAAAAAAGGAAGGAGTATTTCGGGATTTGGTAGGTAGGGTGGGCTCTATCTGCACTCATTTTCAGGCAGGTTTACAATCCTGATCCTCCATCTTACAAATCCAGTTATCCTTTATTTACCAAAACCTCATGCTTCTGGACATCGTATCTAAATTAAATACCCAAGTTAGTTTCTAGAACTTAATAGAAATATACATACAGATTGTGAAAACATGTCTTAGCTTTTATACCTCATTATACTCAAAGCTTTTCAGAAATAAGCATCTCAGTAAAACCAGAAAATAACCGTATCATTTTTCTCCATTTAGACGATTTAAATTTTACGTTAAAAGTAATAATCTGCGGAGGGATGGGGGGAAGGCAGAAAACTGTACATGAACAGCAATAAAAAATGTTAAACATTTTTTTTAATTTTTTAAAAAAGAAAAAAAGGTAATAATCTTACCTGAAGCATAAAAGTCAGGGTCAAAGTATGCCATAAGCAGGAAATTGAATACAACCAGCAGAAAGCCAGAAAAGGTTATCAGATTTGGAGCCAGCCAAGTAGGAAATACCTATTTTTTTCCAAAATAATTACAATATAGTTAAAGTAGAGAAATATCTCTGTCCACACATACAACAGCATGCAAATTCATGTTATAATAAAAGCTATAATTTAAAATGTCACATACAGGAGTTATTTATATTAAAACGTAAACCATAATCTCCAGTTGATAGAAAAAAACACTTCTTTTTATTCTGTTTTAAATAATTCTATAATCAACACACTTTTACAATCATAACATTACATTTCTTTTAGAAAATTACAAAGTTATAAATTCCAGAGTATAAACTAAGATCTCAAACAATGACATTAATCAAAACATAGGTGGGACCAAAAAAACACAGAATTTATTTATAAAAAACTGTATTTACTCCTACATGTTTGAACTTCAGTCACCTTCAAAGTACTCTCCATTTGACGCAATACACCTATTGAGACTTTTTTGAACCACTCAAAACAGTTTTTGAATTTGTTGATTTTGGTGCCCTTTTAGTGCTTCTGCAGTTTTTTGTTTCACATTGACAAAACATTTCCCTTTGAGGACTTTTTCATTCAGGGAAACAAAAATAGTCACTGGGGCGAGATCGGGCAAATAGGGAGGGTGGGGCACAGCACTCATGCCATTTTTTGGTCAAAAACTGCTGAACACGCAGCACGATATGGGCAGGTGCACTTGTAAATCACCCATCATGAAATGGGCAGATGCAATGAAAGAGTCTTCAAAAAAAATTTTGCTGAAGCTGAACGCAGCCTCTTACAACAACGCCAGCTGATGCACTGATGCAGACAGGTTCCTAGAACACTCGGTTAGTGGGGTAGTCTACTACAAGGGGCCCGCCCTCCAGATGATAATTCTGGGGTTTTTTACGGGGGTTCCCCTTTGTACGTGACTAAGGGAAATGAGATGGGAGGGGTAGTCTCTCTAGATATCTCATTAAGCTGACCGTTACATCTGTAACACTCCACAAAACAGTTTAAAATATTTAAAACTTTCTAAAACGTAAGTGCATGCCTATGAATCACCTTACCTTTACCACAGTGTTCCAAAACGGATGCATGACATACAGAGAGAGGGGATTGGAATCCACAGCACTGTACTGTTAAGAAATAGAAGAAGATACTCAGAGTTAATCCTTACATACTAGCAAACAGAACAATTTCTTAACTGAAAATAATAGTACAAAAGTAACTTGGGGAATATGTCTATTTACATGATGTCATCATCTGAATAATGAAACTGGAGGAGCAATGTAAATGAGGCAAAAACTGTCAAGCACACCCAGATATTTTTTTACTCAATTAACCTTTATATTATCGTGTGTTAGCAGAAAAATCTGTAGGATCAGTAAAATGTACACTATGGGCATTCAAACATAACCATACAACTTCTCAACCTTCTTCATCCCTCTCAACTTATAGGAATCTAGTTGTTTTACCCCTTGATACCATTACTACTGCACTTACTAGCTGTGTGACCTTGAACAAGTTATTTAACCTCTCTGCTTACTTTCTTCACCTGTAAGATGAGGACAGTCTTTACCTCAAAGGGTTGCCGTAAGGATTAGATAAGTTAATCTAATAATACACATGAGGCACTTAGAATGTACCTGGCCCACAATAACTGTTATATAAGTATTAGATATTATTATTATTATTATTATTAAATGTGTTTGAGCATCAAAAGAATAATGACAGATTGCATAAATAAGCAAAGGAAGATAATAACAGGTTGCTGGTTATTTTCCAGAATTCTCTTGTAGCCAAGTTTATTCCCCAATTATTGAGCCAGTTAGTAAAAAATTCAAAGGAAATTGTAACAATCTCTGTATATAAATATTTAAAACTTCAAGATTGATGTATACTCATCAGACACACACACACACACTAGAGTACTCTATTAGGTATGGGAGGGGACAATTCCCATCCTTAAGAAGTGGGAATACTACCTAATTAGTCCAGCCAACATTTAAGCAACATCATACTAACCAAATGTTTGAAAAAAGTTTGACTGTGCTTTGTACTTATGCTTGGTAGGTATGCATATAAAGAAAATAGTAAAGCATTTGAGTATCTAATTTTTTTAATCATAAAGATCAAAATTCCTTCCTGAAAGTTTTATGAATATGCAGGGAATATTTTCTCATGGGTGCCTCAAGACTTAAAGTATGATGGAACAGCCCTGGCTGGTGTCTCTCAGAGGACTGAGTGCCGACCTGAGAAATGAAAGGTCATCAGTTCAATTCCCAGTCAGGGCACATGCAGGGTTGCGGGCCAGGTGTCCAGCTGGAGGTGTGCTAGAGGCAATGGATTGATGTGTATCTCGCACATCAATGTTTCTCTAACTCTTTTCTTCTCAAAATAAATAAATCTTTTTTTTAAAGTATGATGGAACAAAAAAGTATTTTAAAATACTGCAAGCAAAGAGAGTTGAATGTTTATTCGAAAGACTCCATGTCTGAGTGCCCCCATTTCTCTATCCCAGTCTGACTGAAATGGGGTAATGTGGACAAAAGATCTGAGATAAACTGTGGGAAGAAAATGGGGATGGGGCCCTGGCTGGTGTCACTCAGTGGACTGAGTGCCAGCCAGAGAACCAGATGGTCGCTGGTTCAATTCCCAGTCAGGGCACATGCCTGGGTTGCAGGCCAGGCACCCAGTAGAGGGCATGTGAGAGGCAACCACACACTGATGTTTCTTTCCTCCCTCCCTTCCTTTGTCTCTAAAAATAAGCAAACAAAACCTTTTAAAAAAGAAAAGAAAAGAAAATAGGGATGGAGAACACAGTTTGCTCTGCTGGCCAGAGCCAGAAGCTATGGAGTTGTATCCATACTCTCAGCAAGAGCCTACTTAAACGAGTATTACACTGTTCCTATCAAAATCAACTTTCACTTCATGGTTCTGTACTATCTACAAAGCTTTCCACATAACAGATACCACTACATCTGACCTTCTGCAGAATGAAGGAGTTCTCAACTGACACAATGTCTGAATTTAAGTCTTCAGATCTGAGGACACAGAACCAGAATGAACCCCCAAGAGCTGCCGATGACAAGGTGGGAAGGCCCTGGTCTCCTCCACTTCACAGAAGTCTGCACCCGGACCCACGGGATGTAGCCAGCAGGTCAGATAAACTGGAAAACCACCCATTTCAAGTCCACCACCCACTGAAAAGTACAAAAGTTGTAATGAGCCCAAATCATAACAATAGCTAATCACAAAATAGCTAATAGGATACACAAAATACAATGCTCTTAATTCAAATGTTTGCTGAATGAGTCTCATTCAACAGCTTTCCGTGATTTGAATTAGATCTAAAAGAAGGTCCTTAACTGATGGTATTTTGATTTGAAAAGCTCCTTTTAAATTCTGAAATTTTAACTCTAAATCTCTATTTCAGGAGACCAGTAGAATTATGAAAAGAATGTTGAGAACTAAATACAAGGCTAGTTTGTCAAAATGACTCTTCTACATTTAGTAATAAGCTGATGAACTCAAGTACAGCGAGAAAGATTAAGATGAGATTACAAAAGACAGCAAGCAACAAACCTAAATAAAGAACACTGTGTTTCAGCCTTACGCACCTGAGTGCTTTTTAAGGTCACTGGTCACTTTGTATAAACAAAGAAACTTGAAACCACCTTGGGAATCAATAGTAGGAAAGAAGAATGATTCGAACCTTCCATATATGTGAAAAAAAAAAACAAGTAAAATATAAGCTTTTAAAGGTGTTAAGCTAGATTTAGGTTATTTGGTAAGGCTGGCTAAATATATATTTAGTCTCCATTGGAATGATGTTTTGACATACACCAGAACACCTAACTAACCAAGAGGATACTCCGCTGAGAAGGTCCACTGTGCCTTGCTCGACCCTACAATCTGCCGGGTCAGACCAGCTAGTGCCTTGGAGAGATGCTTGAGGACCACAGCCTGAGTCTGAGAGAATCATTCCAGTGCAAAACCTCAGAACCTTATGAAGTTAAGCAGACAAGGGTCTAATTTTTCATCCAAACGACATTCCTTCCCATATTTGAAAACAGCTTTCCCTGTCACACCTCACAGATGTCTTCACCTGAGAACATCCCATGGTCCTTTTGCTGCTCCTCTTTGCCATGGTCCCCACCTCCTTCATCACGTAGGTCTAGCTCCCTAGACCAGAGGTTCAAAAGCATTCTCCGTCAGGAGCCAGATCATAAATATTTCAGGTCTCTGTAACAAACACCCAATACTGCCCATGAAGCAGGAAAACAGTCACAGAAAATATGTAAACAAATGAGCACGGCTGTGTTCAAATAAAACTTTATTCACAAAAGAGGCTGCCTGTGCGCCAGGCAATCGGATTTGTTGTTAAACCAACACACACAAAGGTGCGATCCAGGGCAAAAGGAGCGTTTCCAGTGGTGCACTGAGCAGAACAAGAGCTTGACTACACGCCCTTCCTTCTCAATGACTTGTTTCTCCAACTGATGCTGAACATATTAATGTCCTACGGCAACGCAGTCATCCTGCAGACTTACAACTTCAGCCACCTGAACGCCTCGGGCCTTTCTCACACGGACTAAGCCACCTTTCTCTGCGCTAATTCGAGGGTGCCTATTGGAACCTAAGTGCAAGGCTCTGCACTTCCCACTTTAAATTTCATCTGGATAGACTCGTCTTTCTATCCATCCCCTCCAAATCTCTCCAGCATCAAACTCAGTTACCTGAGGTAATAGCTACGCCTCCCCAAACTCTCAGCATGTAAACCTGTCATGGTGACGATGCCTTCACTTAAGTCTCTGTAAAAATACTGATCAAGGTGGAACCTCTAAACATCTGCCTCAAGACTGCAATTCCTACATTTAACCATTTTCATTTGCGTATACAATTCTGTACTGCCATCTCCATCTATCTGCTCACAAGAAAAGATATTCTTAGCAAAATCCAGAATTACCTTCAATAGCATTTTGTCAAGTATTAGTTAAGTTTCAAAACTTTTTTTTACTTCAATACAAAGGAATGAAGCAAATTCCATGACTGCCTGTGATTTTGCCGGGCATCGCACCAGGCCGCTGCGAAGAGAATGGTGGACAAGACCAAACTGTGTCCCGTGTTCACCGAGTCTACAGACTAGTGTGGAATAGATGGTAAGCAAGAAACAACTAGTAATCATAAGTTGTGGTGAAACTATGAAGGAAATAAAGAGGGTGCTGTGCATGAAGATAATGGGCCAGGGAGTGTGCCCAACCAGAGCGGTCGGAGAAAGCTCCTTTAAGGAGAGGAGAATGAAGCTGAGCCCTGGAAGATGAGGCGACAGTCAGGTAAGGAATGTACGAGACAAAACAGTGAGTCCAAGAAACAAAACTCTAGTCAGGACATTCTGGTATAGATTCCCTTTATATGAAGTTCAAAAACAGACAAAATTAATTTACAGCAAAAGAAATCCTAAGAGTAGTTTGGTGACAGGGGCTGAATGGGGGCCTTCTGAAACACTGGCAGTAATTCTGTATCTTGACCTGGGTAGTGGTTACATGGATATACACATGTGTAAAAGCTCATTAAATTATACATTCAAGACCTGTGCATTTATATATAATGTGTACCCAAAAAGCAAAAGAAAATTAAAAATATATAAAAGTAGGTTTACAATTGTTCATATGGAAAATAACACAGTAAGCCCTGGCTGGTGTGGCTCAGTGGATTCAGTGCCAGCCTCCCAACCAAAGGGTCGCCGGTTCAATTCCCCGTGTAAGGCACATGCCTGGGTTGCAGGACAGGTCCCCAGCGGGGGCTGCATGAGCGGCAACCACACATTGATGTCTCTCTCCCTTTCTCCCACTCTTCCCCCCTCTCTAAAAAAGAAATAAAAATCTTTAAGAAAAAAGAAAATAACAGTAACAAATAACAATATAATAATAAACTATTTCACATACAACTGTAAACCTACTTTTGCCCACCCCTGTGGGCAGTCGGGGAGTTGGGGGAGGGCTGGGGAGTCCCAACATACCTTCCAGGCAGAGAGAACAAAATGTGCAAAGAGCACAAAGCTAGAAATACTTGAAATACTGTTGGAAGACCAATGAATGTAGCTACAGCTTAGCACAGAAGGAAGAGTAGTTTG